TAAAAAAAAAAAAAAAAGTATTAATATGTGCCTATTGAAAAAATATAAAGAAAATATAAAGTGCCATTACAAAGAATACACCGAAAAAAACAACGTATTTTTTTTTCCACGAAAATTATTAAGCTTTGCATGGCTCTTAGAGATAAGCCCCACTTGCGGTGGCCAAAAAATTTTTTGCTATCTTATCTTTTCGATCTCGATTGTAATGTAACAAATGTTGGGCTATTTTTTTACTCGAACGACGATGTACGATGTTCAAAATTACCGCGTTAATTTAAGGAATGGAAAAGGAAAAGAAAAAAAAACTTAAGTTGTTATCAATCGCAAATTAACCTGTAACCATTTACGACACGAAAACACGATATCGTGGCAAACTGTAATCGTACAGTGGAAAATAGTGGCATTGGAAATTCACGCGGACCAAAAATTCCACGCGGGCCGTAGTGTATATATATAGAACCAGGTAGAATCGTAATATACTTACTTACGCGTAGGTAAAATAAAAAAAAAATGAAGGCTCTTGAGTCGTTTGTCAAATAACGTGGCAAATTACTTGTACATCACCGTGTATAATGCAAGGAGTAAAATTATCCCTTGTAAGTATGAAAATCGACAGGAAAATAAGTATATGACAAGGCATTTGTAAATAATAAGTACGAGCATATTATGATTTGTTGGGGAGAAACGAAGAGGAGAAAATCAACTGTAGATCGAGAGATGGAAAAGCGCAAAAGCACAGCGTAACCACAAACGAAGCGGATACGTAGCCGGTACGGGCGTACAAATTACAAACGTAGTAGCGCGAGAAAAAAAAAAAAAATTATTAGTAGGTCCTTCGTGTACGTGTCACGTAAATGCTGACGTGGGGCTGTAACGGATTTATCGAGGTGTGCGTAGGGGTAGGACTTGTTTTTGCTTTTGAACAAATAATAGGTAAACCGTATCGCGTGAGATTATATATCTTTCGATGAGAAAATTATTGTCTTTTGTAAAGCAAAAACCCTTTAAGATGGTGCTCACACGGTTACACTTGAAGTTAATACAGGTATACTTACTGTGTATTTACTGATGTGCCGCTACTATTGGCCAAGTATAGTGTAGGTGTGGATGATCTATCAATGTATCTATATATTTATATATATATGTAGGTACAACGGAGCACTGCGGGCACGAGGTATATTTTGTATTCGCCGGCCGGCTTAAATCCTACACGTGTACAGCACACAATGATTATGTATACAAGCCGCTAGAGTCCTTCCAGATCCACCTATTAATGAATTATTGTCGCCACTGCTCGTAAAATCGGTATACTTGATATTTTTGCGAACACGAAACGCGAATGTGAGTGTACAATAAAGCACGCGTGACAAAAGTTTGCTCGTTAACGCGGGTGACTATGATGTATGTGTGTTGTGGTTGTGATCGTTAGTAGTTGCACACACGGGCACAAGGTTGGGGGTGTAAGTGAGATCGGCAATCAGATGTGCGTGGAAAAATACTTATAATATGTATTTTTTGTCGTAGTTACGCACGAGCCGGACGCACGTGAATCGACGAGTCAATGAGTTGCCGATGACGAGCCGATCGGGTGGCCGTGGACAGGAAACCAACGACAACGAGCGCCGCCGCTGCTGTACTGACTTGCTTCTCTACACCTAAACCCGGCTATACTCGCGACGACTGCTCCCGGCTTGCCACTGCTGTCTTGGCTATGTTGTCACTGCGTAATTCCGTAATCAGCCGAACCGAGCACCTCGGCCCCGGCTCTCTTTTTATCTCTTTTTTTTTTCTTTTTTTTTTTTTCCCTCGCTTACGTACATACGCTTACCCGAAAAATTTTGCCCTGATAAAACCTCATCTCCAGCACACCGTGACCTTGCGCTTCTCTCGTTGTTTTCGCCCGCGATCCTCCTCCTCCTCCTCCCGACTGTTGATGTTTATTCTGTGTGTATTTACGTAGGGTCGGTTTATCTATGTACATACCGATTTCGTTATTATCCCATTGCCTCGATCGTCACTTCCACGGATCGTTTTGTGTGTCCACTCAAGAGAGAGAGAAAGAGAGACAAACGATTCGCGACCATTCATATCTACCAATAATACCTTACTCTCCTCCACTGACCGAATTCCGTAAAGGCTTCTCCGCGTTACCGATTACGATTCGATCTACATATACTAAGTGTGTGTGTGTGTATCATCGTCTCTTTCTTTTCGCATTATCAGTCCTCTTTGAAAAAAAAAAATCAGAGCGGAGGCTCGGTTTTCCTCGTACCTACATTCGGTGGCCGAAAAACGCGCGCGCGTTTTTGACTTTTACTTTTAATGATAAACGATGTGCAAAAATCCCTGACAATACACGAGCGGGTGTCGACTGTCGACACGCGCGATTTGGTGCTAATAAATATATGTACATCGGGGAGAAATATGTTGCATAAGGGCTGCAGCGTGTACGTGTAAATACATACACATGAAAAAAAAAAAAAAAAAAAAGGTTTTGTTTACAAAATACAAAAGTCTCATTACTATTGCTGTTGAGGTACAAATTAGGAAAATAAAAATTCTTTTTAACATATAATTGAAAAAAACCCGTTGTACACTTTTAAGTAAGAACACAAACGATTTCATTAGTCGAACACAATAGCCGAGTAAAGTTCAAAGCAATACACATTTATTGTACATCCACCAGTTGTTGAAGTGAGCGTAAAATCGAATATGCATTTTACTCTTAAGTTTAAACTTTCTTCATAAATTCAGTGAAGCGTTTTTTAAAAATTTTTTTTGTTTTTTCGTAACGATGCGCGAAAAAAAAGGTTAATTATTACTTTGTCTCGCGATCGTGCTCGTTGACCCACTACTCGTACAACCAACACTGAACCAACTGTACCTCGTTGGTCATCCAATTAATTAGTATGGTAAAGAAAATAAAAATCAAAACGGACGGTATACCTACTATGTTATATACACCATTGGGCGTTGAGTATTCCATTTCCGGAGTTTTTCGGATAAACACGCTCGATACATCATTCGCGCGACCAGTGCAAACTATAAGTTTGTCAATTATGGAGTGCGAGCGAGTGGCATGAATAGTTGATGCGTTACCGAGCCTATAGCCGCGCGTTGATCTCAATGTGCTTGCAGGTCAAAGAAATTAAGAAAAAGAAAACTCTACTGAAAATATTTTCTCAAAAAAAAAAAAAAAAAGAAAAAAAGATCAATCGAGTTAGCAAAGAACTGCAAAGCCAGCGTGGAGGTAGAGATGCGAAATGTGGGGGAGGGTGTCTTGAAGAAAAAAACTAAGTCAACTAGATTTAGCGAGTGCACACTGGAGCTTTTGATGGGTGAAGAGGGCTCTTGTAGTTATACGTACGCAGAGACGAAAAAAAAAAAAAAAAAAACTGAGATATATGTATCTACGAGAGAATAATATAATATTGTTACATATAGGAGGAATTGCAGAGGAAAGAGGAGAACTAGTCTCGTGTACGTGTGGGAGCGCTGCTTCTTACCCTCGAGCTGGAGCTCGTGCTCCTGCTTATTGGCGCTCTCGTCGAGGGGACAGGGCAGGTAGGCGTAGCGCGGACAGAGCGACGACACGCTTCCGGTCTTGGCCCTGTGGCCGCTCATCGTCATCGTTAACAACGATCTGAAATTTCCTACGCGTGTACGGATCGGTCGCGTTACATTATCGCGTACAACGTCGGGCCCTCCCCCTCCCCGGTCAACGGCACCACTTTGAACCTGCTGCACCAGGGTGCTTACAATATTTTGCAAACATCTGTACGTAAGAACAACCAACCAACCACTGCAGCAGCACCAACGGCACTCGACTATTGTCTGGGGTGTTGTGTCAGAGGCGCGCCGCAAGCTCCGTTGGCACGTGCAAGCTCGTCGTCTCCGCAGTCGCGTAGCAGCGCGCCCCGAAGCTGCAGTGTCGGTGGCATCGGCTCTATAGTTGGGTACGGAACCCCTACCGGCCGGAGGGTGGTGGTGGACCCTCGTCTCTTTCTCTCTCTCTCTCTCTCTCGGGGGGTTGGTTCATACACGTTGATATGCGCGCGCGCCCAGAGGCCGAACTCGCGTGTTTTTTTCACCCCCCTCCCCCTAGGCAGTGTCGCAATGTATCCGCAGTGTAGGGACATGTTTACCGTGCATATACACTTGGGTCTATCTGTACATATACATATACGATATTCCTTCCTTCCTTCCTTCCTTCCTTATTCCGTGCGATTCTTGGCCTCTGGCACTTGCAGCTAATCCAACACGTTTTTATGTCCGTGCTTTACTTTGGCACAATGCACGGGTGTTACTGCTATTACTACTGCTAATTAAAATACATTCACTTTTTATTGAGTATACGTATAATATAAGTATATCCTTTTTTTCAGGGGGGGGGAGGGAATGATTATACCTCGTCAATCAAGTGGCACCATCTTCGTATACGGGATACATTTTTATCGAGTGCACGCTGGTGTATCGATCGGCATCTGCGTTGCTGTTGAAATAAACAATATTCATCTTATCGCGCATCTGGCGCAGATACGAATTTTTTTTTCTTCAATTGCGTAATGATTTTTTTTTTTTTTTTTTCTTGATAGTGCTCAATGTCTTGCGGACCGGGGGATCGAGAATTGGGTTCGATGAGCGGATAAAAGTACGGGCTGATCGGTATATTATTGAAAATATTGTTTATTTTTCTATACAATTTCGAGGAAAATTCCTTGGGCAAAGGCGTACATTTCGTCCCTCCTCAAATCTTCACTTTTTTTTCTTTTCTTTTCTTTCTCAACGAGTCGTGCCAAAAAACCATTTACGTACATTCCGGTAGTTTTCATCAAAGGTTAATTCATGTCGAACGATCTTTTTCTTTTTAACGCCAACATTTAAAAAAACATGGAAAAATATCATAAATCTGCATTGCACGCCGTTCTTCGTTTTTTTTTTTTTTTTTTTTTTTTTTTTTTTTTTTTTTTTTCCCCCAAGTGTAAAAATTAATTCCAGATCAAAGAGACAATGATGATGTCTATATACACGTGCGCGATAAGATATCATGTAGGTACCGGCAAATCAAATTATAAATTATATACGGCATGTTTGTCACTTGTTGACTTTCCTCAGTGACACGACCGTTAACGATTATATACACGTATACGCGCTTGATAGTTAACGAAAAAGGCTCTCACTTGAACACATAATACCTATATGTATACGTGTGTGTAATAATAGCTTAGTTATAACCAACCAATCTTATCGGTCAAAGTATAGAAATGATCCGTGATTACGATTTTTTTTTTTTTTTTTTCAATTCGGCTTGTTA